TGGTTATATCGAAAGTTAATTTTGATCTCTAGAAGTAGCATGCCTCTGCCCATCGTTGTTCTCAATGTCTGGTGCATCTGGTCGTCAAGTATATGAATTTCTGAGCTGGTTGTCTTTGAAATGCTGCCTTGACTACAGGCACAACCAATCTTTCACAGTTCTCGTATGTTTGGTTCAATGAAGTCTCATTTGCAGGCACATAATTTAACTAAAGATCACAAGCCTGACCTCGAGGTTGAAAAATACAGGATTCTGAAAGCCGGTGGTTTTATACATTTTGGACGTGTCAATGGATGCTTAAACTTGACTAGGGCAATTGGTAATGTAAACTTCTTCTTGTTATTTGTTAATTCTTATTGTAAGTTGTCTTTCTTTTCAGTCTGAATTATTGTTGTCTTGATGTTTGTTGCCTTATTAGTCCCAATCAATATAAAATATAAAATCCATAGCAAGCAAAACTATTCACTAATCACGAATAATGTGACTTATTTCTCTGCTCCCTACAATGCGTGAAAATGTGTCTAATTGTTTTTGAGATATCATCATTTCTTTTACAGGAGATATTGAATTCAAGGAAAACGAGCATTTGCCAGTGGAAAAGCAGATGGTAACTGCTGATCCAGAGTTAACTTCTGTAAGTAGTATATTGTCAGTGCATTTACGCTATAAACAGGTTAAAGGGTTAATATCTGTGAGATTTTTCTTCTGTGGAATATGTTCTGCTCATCTCACACAAATAGAGTACTGTTTTTTTTTTTTTTTTAAAATAACAAAACGATAGCATATGCTTCTGCCGCCATTTTTTACATGTTCCTTTACCCCCCCCCCCACGTTCTTTTCCTTTATTTGTTGCGTATTGAGTACTCTATATTCTGTGTGATAGGTTGAACTTTGCTGTGATGATGAGTTTCTCGTAATAGCTTGCGATGGTGTATGGTAAGCCTCTTGGTTCCTAAAATTCTCTTTTATTAAACTTCTTTGATAGTCATAGCTATTATGATCTAGTTTTTATGACGTTTCATCCAACATGGTCTTTCTCTGTATTTTTTTCGCCTTTTTTTCTTCTAAGGATTCATACCAATCAAAGTAGCTGTTTCTGGCCAAACTTTTTTCGATATAATATTGTCAGCAGCTTTATCAAAATGCCACATAACTTTGTCCTCGTATACGCTGCTCTAAGCTTGCTTCAATAAAAATGTGCTCCATCTTACGGTTCAAGGAATATTTGTCATTGGACATGTCCTAGACACTGCTGCCCTTATTTTAATTCCATGATGCACGAAGAATGAAGATGGACGCTCATTTATGTTTAGATGTAGAAACAGTTTTCGCTACTATAAACTTGTTCCTTGTGCATTGTATAAATAGGGATTGCATGTCAAGCCAACATCTTGTGGACTTCATACATGAACAGTTGAAGACGGTGAGTTTTTATTCTAAGTTCCTCCCTCCCCCGGCAGATTAGATATACGTTTGATGACATCATTTGGCTTGTTTCGATTGGAAAGATGAGTCGTATAAATTATATATATACAGGAAAACAATCTAAAACTGGTCTGTGAGAGAGTATTGGATTGGTGCTTGGCACCAGTAGCTGGTGGTTTGGGATCTGACAATATGACCATGATCTTGATTCAGTTCAAAAGGCCTTCAAATTCAGGTGGCTCTGTCATTAACCAGCAAGCCTCTATTTGAGGGCTTTGTTTCACATTGAAAACCAACGAAACCATAATATTGATAGAAGTAACTGTTAACGTGAAATTAAACTGGCTGTGAGCAAAAAAGAGTTGCAAGATAGACATCATTACATGGTAATCAATTTCTTAATGCATATATGTTCAATGAAGAATTAATACCGGAGAAGAGGAATCATAAGACACATCTGGATGTCAATTTTCAAGAGGAGATTCTGTTCTAAATGTATGATGGTATTTGTAGGTCTTGTACATATAGATATGTGAATGTATCCAAAAACTATAGACATAAAGGTTTGTCATATTGGGAATCAATGATTACTTTTCATTCTCGACTCTATAGTCTTATTTTTTTTTTTTTTATGTATTTTATCTTGTATATTGATAATGATATGCTGACTTTGTTTTGTTTTGTTTTTAAAATAAGCTTCTCTCTATCTTGTATAGCTCACCTCAATTTAAACTCTTAAAAATTAATGCGTCTTCTTCAAGGATAAACATTTTTAGAAGTAATATTAGTGTCTTTGATTGACAGAGATAAATCTCCGTGAGATATGTGAAAAATTTCTTATAACCATTTTTAGTGTCTCTATACATGAAAATTAAGAATCAAGCTTTTAACCACTTTATTTAAGAATGAACTGTTTCCATCACTCGTGTCGTTTGTCAAAAATACGTTTTTGTCAATATTGTAATCGATAACATCTATGGCTCATACCATCAAAAACTTAGGATGAGAGAATCAGCCGAAAACCAGTAAAATTGGACGATCAGTTGAATCAGTTGAATTGCTGCTTTTCATAACATTAACGGGTCAGATCATAACTCATAAAGTTGTGAGTTCGACTCTCGTTGTCGACGTGAGGATTATGTTAGTAGACAATCTATGAATATTTTTATAAATACTTTCTGAGTCTTGAGGTATGTCTTGATCCTGGTGAGCTAATAGGTTTCAACTCATCTAAATTTTTTTGTATAAAAAAATAACATTGACAATGAGGAGAAAATTTTGGTTAAACTGCTTCTGTTCATTAGAACAAATTTATAGATGAATCTATAAATGTACATGCATATTTTGATAATTAATAATAACAAAATAGTAAGTACCTATATTTTATAGATGAATTTATGAGTGCATGCATATATTTGAACAACTAAAAATAATAAAATGACAAGGGTTATTAGAGAATTTGACATGATAAAAATAAGAAACTTGATATAAGCATTGTCCTGATAATAATAATTTTTGTTTACCAAGAATTTTTGTGATTGCATAAGTTTATTGAAGAGCTTCTTTCAGCCCAACTAAATATGTTTAAGAGCTCAGGTTGATGCGTTTAATTAATACTCCTCCGGTCCTTGATATAAAACCTATTTAACTAATTTGATTAGATTAAAGAAGTCAGGTAAGTTAGTTAATTACAAGAAAAGTGACATATTTTTTCTAAAACACTATAATCATCTTTCTTAATACCTGCTCTCCTTTTTCTACTTGATTATGGTTGAAGGAGTATCTATAGGAGTAATTTAGAAAAAACTGATAAATATGAAAAATAGGTCTTATATTTAGGACTAAAACCAACTTAAGAATTGGGTTCTATATTAAAGACTGGAAAAGTATATAAAAGATCATATAACCGACAACAACATTGTTAGAGATCAAATTAAACTTTTTTTTTCTCATGAATGATTAAATTGAGAGACAAACAACTTTCGATCAATCAAATTAGATACTCCTCTAGTACTTAATATAGGACTAAATTCTTGAGTTGATTTTGGTCCTAAATATAAGACTCATTTCTCATATTTATCAATTTTCTCTAAATTATCCCTATAGATACTCCCTCAACCATAATCAAGTAGAAGAGGGAGAGGGGATATTAAGAAAGATGATTATAGTGTTTTAGAAAAAATGTGTCACTTTTCTTATAATTAACTAAGTTACTTAACTTTCTTAATCTAATCAAATTAGTTAAATGGATCTTATATTAAAGATCGGAGTACTTTGAAAAAATTTTCTTCGCCACCACTTTGAAAACCGATTTGGGTTTGTCTCTCTCAGAAACACCATAGATGTTTTACATACTCAAACTACTTTCGAAGATGAATTTTTTTGGCCTGCCTCAGACACGCTAACATACACAACCCATGGAATTCTAGAGGGGATTTTTTTGCATTACTCATTTATAATATGGGCAGAAGAAAAAACAAGAGGCATTGATAATTTATGAATGGCATACTGCCAGCATGCAATAATTACAATATAAAAAGAAAAGTGCAGGCGCCACGTAACCCCCAAAGCGACCACATTTGGGAGTAATTTGGACCATTGAATTGGATCCACGTGTGGAGCCTCAACCCTTTTCCCTTTGGGATGAAGATTCCCTATTATTACTGCATGATTGCCACGTGTACGCCCCACATTCTCCCTTATCCGCAACTCAAAATCCCCCCCCCCTTTCCTCTCTCTATCTCCGTCTCTCTTGTCGCTCTTTTCCCTGTTTCACTATATTTGTTTATTCTTAAATTAGTTCCCTTATCCTCTCAAAGTTTGACACGTGTTCCCCCTTCATATTTTTTTGCCCCACATTTCCCTTAGCTTTTTTTTCCCACCAGTCAGCTTTGGATTCGGCTAGTTTATCCATGAGTGGGAGTAATTGAGTTACTAGAATTTTTTAATTATATTCGCAAGAAAATAATCCATCACTTCTTAATATAACAACTACATAGAATTAATTTAGAAAAACTAAATCAATCAATTAATTATAACAAATGTCAAGCAATTTTGATAAGATTTTCTTAATATTATATTACATATTAAATAAGTTATTTAAAAAATGATAAACATAAGAAACAAAATAATTTAAAATTTTATACTTAAGACTAACATTTAACTTCTAACTAGTTCATATATTAGATGTTGAAATTGAAATTAGGATAATTTTAACCACCCTAATTTTATTGGATTAGGGTTTATACATTTTTAAATAGAATAAGTAAAACAGGAGAGCAGTCCTATTCAGCGCAATTATTAAGAAGGGATGATGGATAATAATAACAGATAAGATAAGAGCGGGAATCTCTCTCATTTTAGTTGATTAGTTCTGAAAGAATTTATTTATTTAGAAAAAAAAAAAAGTTTGTTTTATCCAAATTGCTTTCTCTTTCCACGAAACTAAAATATGACATCCACGTCACCCTTTACCCAACGGATAAGAACCCTGAAACCCACATCGATCTGACTTCATCATAGCGCGTCTTCTTCTTTCTCCTCCTCCCTCTCAATATATATATTGCCATATCAATTTCGTTTCACACGGATCATTTCACCCAAAATCAAACCAATTAGTGTCTTATAAGAATCATTCCCTTTTCCCACGAATCAGCTTTTGAGGATTTGAATTTATATTCCTAATCCTAATGGCTGCTGTCGCCGGAGCCGGAATCGTTGCCGGAAAGTTATCGTCGTCGTCTTCGAGTTTGAAGCTGAGAGGCAGAGAGAAACTACAGAAGAGGAGAAACCAGTTTCGGGTTTCGTGTGTTTATTCTTCTTCTTCTTATGTGATGGATCCTTATAAGACCTTGAGAGTTCCTCGTGATGCCTCTGAATTTGAGGTCAAGAAGGCTTTCAGGGACCTTGCTAAGCAGGTTTAATTTCATTCCCATCTTATAATAATCTTTCTTTTCATTTTCGTCCTCTCTCTGAAATTTTCCCTAAGGCTGAGAAATTTTCTTCTGTGTTCTTAATTACCAGATGAAACTTATTTTGAATCAAAATATTAATTTGATTTTCTGTTCCAAACTCTTGTTTCAGTATCATCCAGACGTTTGCAGAGGGAAGGATTGCTCTGTGCAGTTTCATGAAATCAACGAAGCTTATGATGTGAGTTTTTTTTTAAAATAAAGGAAAATATTAATTAATGTTCAGTTCCGTAATAAATTATAATCAAATTTGCTGCCTAAAAAGCATTTTTTAGAATTTTGTTTCGTGAAGTCTAAAAATATTTTTTTAGAAAGTCCCAAGTAATTAAATGTTATGTTTAACTGAAATTTGTTAAAATTGTTGTATTATAATATTTTATTCTCCATGGATTCCTCAATGAAAATTTCTTTAGAAAATTTTGTAATGTATAATTATTATGAATTAGTTGTGATTAATTGGTTGGTCTTGGGGAACGCAGGTGGTGATGGCTAATATGAGAGGGGAACCCATTATGATGGAGAGATGTGAGGCGTCCGATGAAGGGGAAGATGATCAGATGAGGGGAATGGACGATCCAGATTGGGACATGTGGGAGGAATGGATGGGTTGGGAAGGAGCTGGAATCAGAGACTACACATCCCATATTAACCCCTACATCTGATTTGATGGGGGCCCGCTCTCTTATTAACCTCCTTCATTTGATCAAATATTGCTCCTCAAATGATGTTTTTTTTTTTTAATTTCTTTTCCCAAAAAAATCCCACTAAAATTGTATATCTTTGTATATATTCTGCAGTATTTTTAATGTTGCTTTCATCTGATGCTGATAATGAGCTCAGATGAAATAATTGTGTTTTAGCCTAATCATATATCTCATACTGTTTCTGCAGTATTTTCTTAAACATGTTTCATGGCTGTCGGTATCTGAGAAAAATTATTATTTATCCCAGTGAAACAATGTTATATTATCCATAGTTATTAGTCATTAATTAATTTATATAGTTTTGGGGGGTAATCTTAAATTCTGGTTGTCTAATTGAAATTATCCCTTTCATCCACTACTTCCACTCTAGCACTGCCGCCTCATCCATAAACAAGAACACAACGCCAAGCCCTATATAATTATTATTTCACCCTAAATATTTTCAGGTTTATTGCTTTGCTTTGCTTTTTTTTTTTTTTAAAACCTATTTAAAGCTCAATATGTAGTAAATAAATATTTTTAAATAGCATTTCGGCGGGGACTTTTGCCAACAGCCTTTCGGCAGAGACTAGGTCTTTGATAGACTGGGATATAATACTTAAAAAAGGGCTCTATATAAGCTTCTAAGTCAACTTCAAGCCTATGACCAATCACAGACCTGGATTTGTTTGGCTTAAGTGTGACATATTTTCGCCATTATTCGTAACCCAGGTTGCTGCCATCAATAATGTGAACAGTGGATATGATATTTATGATTGACCATGTGGTTCATAAGCAAAGCGGTTGATAGCATTCCTATTCTATTCGAGACCCTTTCAATACCATTCAAGATAAGCATCAGATTCAGATCTAGATCTACACACCTCTCTCAACACCTAACATCCACATCTATCTAAATTGAATTTGAATAAAGTGAGAATAAAGCCAACTTTAAATCGCAAAAACTCATATAGGTAGTGTAAACACCAGGAATATTGCAAAGCAAAGATTGCGAAAAAAATTCCTGAAGGAGTTTTTCACTAAAGTATATATATCTTTCGGAACAATCTTGTTCGAGATACTATCGGACACTAAATATGAACATATCTCTTAATGAGAATTCAAATCTTGATTTGTCACGTTGTCAAAGACTAACTCTTTCGTTAGGCCCAACTCTCGCTTGTTAAATTGTTGAAGGATTTTTTTTCTTCTAAAGCATAGGTATCATCCTATTAGAAGCAATTATGTTTGAGGTATTGTTGGGCACTAAATGTGGATACCTCTCCCAGCAGAGATTCAAATCTTGATTAGTCATATTATGAAAGACTAATATCTTTCGCTAGACCTAATCCCTGTTGGTTTTACTGGCAAGTTGTTGGAGGATTGAAGGTTGCTTTTGTCAAAATGCAAGGTCTTGTATAGGCTCTTAAAATGGGCCTCTACTTCCCATTCTTCTTTTGGACTCAGGACCAACCAAAGTCTTGGGCTTGGGGAAGGCGGGTGTGCCACTACGGTCTTAAGATGAAGGAGACAAGAAAGTTTTCCGAAGTGGTGCCAAGTGCCAACTCATCAAGTAACGCGACAAATTATCATTTTAATTGTTCCGTCATATAAATCTAATAAATCAATGAATTTTTATGCATCATGACTCATAACTATATACCAATTCGAAGATTTTCATCTGATTGCTTTGTTTATGAAAAAACTATATTAATTAAATGAAAAAGATTTGAGTTATTTCGATTTTAAGCTATGTTTTTTCAGTTAAAAATAGGCATAATTTATTATTTTTTATTTAAATAATTTATGAATTTCATATTTTTAATATATTTTACATTACATATAGATATATAATTTCAATTTTAATTATAAATAAAAAGATTTCAAGATCAAAAGGAAAGAGAAAGAAAGAGATAGATAATAGTTAGATACTTCAAAAAACGACAAGATAGGTGTAAAGGTTTATTAAAAATTATTTGAATTTGAATTTTGTATCAATCTATTTTTTTTTTAATTTTCACAAGATAAGATATACCGTTTACGCCACACCACCATCTTTGTGATAATTAATCATCCTAAAATATTTATACTTTGACCCAAAAAATGTGAATACATAAACACATATTATCTAACTTACATTTTCCTTCCATGTAAATATAAATATTAAAATATGAATACTTTGACCCCAAAAATGTGAATATATACATGTTATTTAGCCACTCAAATGAAGTTTGTATTCAAAGATATATGATCTACATTATCCTTCAAAGATATATGATCTGTATTATCCTTTTACGATAAGTATTGCATTTAAAAAGATTTTAAGGAAATCTCCTGATTCTAATCGATCAAAAGATTAACCCCATTGATCTATAAAAGCACATACAGAATTGTACGTTTGCTTCCAAGAGTTTCATTATTTGGCTCTTTACTTAAACCATATTCATCATCATTATTGAGAAAGAGGTCTAATTAATGGCCACTAGTATTGGGATAATGGTTTCTGGGCAAACATTATCATTATCGTCTTTTGATCTGCAATTCAGAGGAAGAAACAGATTAATTCAGGTGAAGACGAAGAAGAATACGGTTCGAATTTCTTGTTGTTCTTCTGATCATTCTCATTCTGATGTAACCATGGATCCTTATGAGGTTTTAGGAATTCGACCCGGTTCCTCTAAGTCTCGGGTCAAGAGGGCTTTTAGAAAGCTTGCAAAGAAGGTTTAACTGTTTCTTCTTCTACTTAATCTTTGCTTTATTTATTTATATTTCTCTGCTTAATTTGGATTTTTATTTTTTTTTATTATTTTTTGCTAATAGATGTTGTTCAAAACTTGTTTCAGTACCATCCGGATGTTTGCAAAGGGAAGAATTCCAGTGTGCAATTTGAAGAAATCAACGCAGCCTACGAGGCATGTATATAAGCTGTTTCTTTCACTTGCTTGGTAAATTTTGATATTTCCTCACGTTTCGAGTATAAGAATTAAATAACTGATTTGTAGATATTAAAATAATTAATTAACTGAGTTATTTATAAAGTTAATGTGTATTAGTTTTTTTCCCTAAAGTATTTTTTAGTAATTTGCATCAGAAACTATTTCAGATAAAAATTCTTTTAATATGTGTAATTGATAAGAAGAGTTTCAAAAAAGAATTACTACTTCTAATATCGGATTTATTTTATAGTCTAATTTACACTACAAACTAGATTTTGGGGCAGTATAAACTTATGAGACAAGGCAATTCATATGTTTTTTATTCCAAGTTCATATACTTCTATATATAAATTACATTAAGCTTTTGTTGATTATTACGCGTAGGGCTTCAAAGATAACTATAACTTTACTGTTAGTTACATTGTAATTAACCAAAATGAACCCTGATAATTGTTATAATATAATTTTTTTCCGTTACATTAAGAGGTTCAAATATTTTGATTTCTGTCCATTTTTTAAAGGGAAAAAAATACATCTACATAAGAATATAGAACTTATCAAAATTATTTTCAAAATCTTAAAAATTATAATTCTTTTTTAAAAAAGCAAAGACGTCTAATAAATTATTACTAAATGTTTATAAATTATTAATACGAAATATGAAATATATAAGGATACATATCATATATTTGTGCGGAAATTAGAGAAAAATCCTTCGCTACTCAATGTAGGCAAAGTTTGCAGAGTACCAATACTAATAAAATTTTTATGAGAAATTACTTCGAAATTTTCCTGATTTTCATAGACTATAAAAAAAAAATCAGCACATGTTTTACAAGGCTTTTATGAACTTTGGTTTGTTTTACTTTCTTGATATACATTTTTTATTGGGAAACGCAGGTAGTAATGTCGTATTTGAGAGGGGAATCATCAAGTGCATATGGAAGATACTATGATGAAGACTATAATAATGAAGGTTATAGTAATGAGCATAAGAAGGGCAGGACTGACCAACGTTGGGATTATGGTGATGAATGGATTGGTTGGGAGGTTGGCAATTGGATTTTCTATCAACAACATCAACAAGAAGAAACTACTGAAGATTTGACTTCTTTTGAGGAGACTGATCAAGAAAGTCGTCAACTTAGTAACAAGTCATGTTATTCACAAGTTACCGACAATGCATCCGATGATAATACATTAGAAAATGTATCTAATTGACGGGTTCAATTTCCCCCTCTTTTATAGTTGTATGTTTCATGTCTCTCTCTCTCTCAATAGTTTTTTGACATTATTGAGGGAGGAAAGAAGGAAGAAAGTAGGGCTAATACAAATTTCAATCCTTTAAATTTATCCTTCTTTTTGTTTTGGTATTTCAAGTTTCAAACTATGGATTTGGATCTTTTAAATTTCTTTTCATTTAAGATATTGATGCTTATAATTTAATAAAAATTTAGACCATTTTGTTCCTTTAGGGATCAAAACCTATTATTTAAAATTTAAGGAACTGAAACCAAAATGATGACAATTTTAAAAGACTAATCTAAGAAAGTATGGAAACAAATCAATTTTATATACAATGTCTAGGGCTCATCAACCCATGTGCATGAAAAATGCTTCATTGAAAGAGACAGAACCCATTTCAATGATTTATATGATTTGAGAGGATTAGTCTCTAGTTATTGGCCGGAAGATTCTATTGGGAATAGTACAAGTCCATAACTAAAATATGAATTGGGCCATGTCGTGTGTAATGGACTTATTGGGACACATTTTGGGCTGTTCAATTGCTAATGGCCTTACTCATTGGGCTTAGCCCAGATTTTATGTTTGGGTTACAACTGAAAACAAATTTTCTCATAGTTTTACGCCCAAAAAAAAAAGGGAAAGGGCAGGATTGCAGGAAGGAGGAAACTTCCTCGTATGAATTAAAAATTATTGTCCTTTGCAATAACTTTATTATTCTTAAAAGCTAAAACTCATCTTTGTCCCAAAAAAAGAAGCTAAATTCAAGCATAAATGTTGAATCCAAAAATTCATACTTCAATGTGGAAACAAATATATCTGATCTTAAGTTTGAATTTTATAATCAATTAAGCATTTTATAAAATTATTTTTCAATAGAAAATATATGACAAGTTTTTGAGTCATATATATATATATATTTTTCTGACTGCAAATAAAATAGAACAAATTAATAAATTAAATACCAACAATTAAACCGCCACAAATATCACCAGAAAATGGGCATCATTTTCCAGACTGCTTTGGTATGAAGAATTCAGAAGAAACATGATGGTCTTATATATTTTGTTGTCTTCTTCGTAGTTTGACTCAGTCAACGCACGCCGCCAATAGTGAGTCCCCTGCAAATCAATCAATAAAATACAAGTAGGCACAATTTTTTCAGTGAAGCAAACTAAAGGGGTGATTGTGGCATTATTTTTTAATATTCTTTTTTTTGGGGGAGAGGATTCCTATATTAATATTATTGTTTCTCCTACTCATAGTCACTGTGATTAATAATAAAAGAGAGGTTGAGCCAATCATACGCCATTATGGTGCCCCGATTGATGACGTCAAGCCAATCTTTGAATGAGACATTCTGATAACAAAAAAAAAAATAAAAATAAAACTCGTGCCAACAATAAATTATACTCCCTCTAACCCTTTTCGTAACTTTTTTTTTATTTATGAATAGGCCTTATATTTTTTATCAGTTGTATTTTGAATATGTCTAAAATTTTGATGTATTGTTTTTTTTATTCCTAATTATTATATCTTTTTGGATTAATTATAATAATTTCCCCACATATTCTATCTCACTTGCCCTTTCTATAAATACAGGTATATTTTTTAAAAAAAAACAATTTTTTACATATTTATTAATTTTAACTAATTTTTATATTTACATAATTTAATTATTTGACACGGAGGAGTATTTAATGTTAGGCGCGTGCAGTGGGAAAAGGTATAATTCTTGCCTTGGGCCCTCCTTAGATGCATGAATTAGGCGTGGCCCCAGCACATCGTGCGATGGTGACTCCCACCTGTCCAACGTCCTTTTCATCCAAGTCATCTCCATGTGGATTATTATATCCATAGAAAATGATTTATATTTAATACTGCTCCGATCCTAAATACAAAACTTATTTTGTAGTATAAAATCACGCTTTAGGACCAGAGTAGTATATTTTATAAAAAAATTTCACCAAATTTTGAAAAGCAGTCATATTAGGTAAAATGTTATTTGAATTATAATTGAATAAAAATAAATTTAGTTTATAAAATTACCAAAATGAGTATACGTTTTAATAAATAATGAAACATGATAAAAAATGAATTTACATAATATAATGAATTTAAATCATGTTAATATGAAGAAGTGAAATTTAATGACTGAAGTATATTTTAAAACATTAGAGATATCATAAAAAATTATTAGAATTATAAAGTGAAACATAAGTTCAATAGATCAAATATTCTTAAATTTAAATTCATTGTGTTGTGACAAGGTTTAATGAATAATGAAACATGATATACAAAAATAAATTTATATAATACAGAGAATTTAAATTATTTTGATATGAGAGAATGAGAGAAAATAAAATGAGGGAGAGTAAGAAATAAATTAATAATTATCTGACACTTTAATGGTACGCTCCCACAAGCACAGTGAAAATAAAAAATAAGCTACTCACACCAGCTTCTCCAATCATGCGATTGAATCTTGCTTTTTAGCCATAAGTAGGATGGTCCAAAAGTCATACCAAACAGGTCAAAAATCATAAATCGGGCTTATAGCACCAATAAGCTCCTTTTGAGCTTTACAAATGCCCAGCCAAACCAACCCCAAGTAGTAGAGAGATGAAATGAATACGAGGCATAATTGTCAACACCTTAATTTTTGGAAGATAATTCAGGTGAAAATGATAAAAATAAATACTATTTAATAAGTTAATTATTAATTTGTTAATTTTAATGACTTATTTAAAATGACTTATATTATGGACTGAAGAGAGTATGTATTTTATTTTTGCTCCTGGCCACCTCTCCTGAGAATTTGAGCTTATGAAATCTGGAGGCTCTATTTGAACTTAGGATTAAGAGTTTATGGAACTTTAAACGAAGCATGTGTATTTGCTAAGTTGGCTCGTTGGAGACTCTGGGTGGGTAGCCATGTGACTTTTGCCAACAACTTATTTATATCTTTGGAGTGTCTTGGAAATGTAAAGGCAACTAGTTATTTTGGTGGCGTGAATTGTTCTTTGTTTTTCTTATTTAGATTAGCTCTTTAGAAGTGATTTTACTAAATTTAAGATTAACATGTGAAAGAAATTTGTCTTAAATTGCATGAAAATATTTTTTTAAAAAAAGTTTTTATATGGGATGTCAAACTCCCCCTTAATGAATTATAGGTGGAGGGTGGGAAGATAAAAATAAATACTATAATTGTTTTGTCCCTTGCTTCATTCCATGTCTTCGTTCGTTGAAACTGATTTATTCTCTTATTCTATTAAAAGATAGATAGCTTATGGGTCCATTTAAAATGACTTGCAAATGGCTGTTCAATCATGATTTACTGTATAAAAAAAATTTTATCTCAGTTTACGTGAAACATGTTTATAAACACTTTTAAATATAATTCCAAATAGACTCTATAGCTTTCAAATACTCACGTTGTGTTGGGACTACATTCTAACTAGCTTGACCCTTCTATTATGTTTATATTTTGATCATAAAAAGTGTGCCTCAAAAGTGAAGTGAGTTACTCCTTTGATCTTACTCCCTCATTCCTATTTATAAGTTTTAAATTTGGGAAGGAGTATGGTCTTTTTTATAAACTTTAATTTGAGTTTGACTTAACATTTAATATATTTTTTAATTTTTTTTTAATTATTTATTCTCTCTCTTTTGTCATATTCACTCTTATCACATTTTCCTACATATTCTTTTTCTTATTTATTATAAGGACATGTTTGGAAACAAAAGCATATTTCCAACTTATTTATTATTTTAAATAAATTTTAAGTAATTTTACATTATCCATAAATTGCTTATTTAAAATTTATAATAAAGACCAGAAAGAGTATTTATGAGACATTTCCAAAGAATTTTTTTATTAAAATTAAGAAAAATTTAAACTTCATTAATTCTATCTTAAAATTTTTCAACTTTCTGATTTTATCTATATTTAGTATATATTTTTTAAGAAAATAATAATTAACAGAACAATAAATTAGAAGTATAATTGTGTAATCATGTAATAAATTTAATGGGATGACTTATATTAATAATAAATATTTTTTCTACTTTGTAAATAGGATTATTAACTATAAATATTTTTCCCTCTGCACTTTAAATAGGATTAGAAGAATATGTTTGTGATTTAAAATGTTTTTGTTGAGGGAAGTTTTTCTTGTAACAAAATGACATGGGGATGTCCCAAGTGGCCTTGGAATTGTGTGAAATGGGAGTCCATAGTTTGCTTTTGTGTCGTTTCTTAGTTCACTTATACCAGTTTGGTTTTCCTATAAATAATCTCGATTTTTATGAGATAAATTTTTTTTAGTATATATCTCATATACTAGCATACCTAGAAACTAATTCAAACTGGTATTATCTCTAATTTTTAATATAAAAACTTATTAACTAATTTGAATAGATTAAAAAATTTGTTCAGTTAGTTATTTGTAATTAATATATGTTATTTTTTTAAAAATATTTTATTAATCAAGTGTATTAGTCAAAATTACTACTTGGTAGAACTTTTAATTATTAGGATTATCTTGAAAAAACTAGTTTTTATATTAAGTAGCAAGGTAATATTGTATATTGGAGGTTTAGAGGCACCTCAAAATGTATGGAAAAACGCATTTGCGGTGTAGTTTATTAATAGAGAAAATTAGGGAGAAGGACCTACAAAAAGTAATATTTATTGAGAAGGATCTTAAAAAGTGTAATTATTTAGGAGGACCAAATATTAAAATATAATTTTAAAAATATGAAATTACCTCTAACCAAATCTCCTATCTTTCCTCTAACCACTACTTTTGAATTTTAAATTAAATCCTTGATCTAATTAAACTATCAAATCTTTAATATATCATACCAGCACATCTCTCTCCCATTCCTCTTGTTCCTCAACATGGATTCACACCATTAATATTTTTCATTGTCCTATACCTACCATTGTTAATTCATGGTTTGTGTCATTATAAGATCATTAATAATGACGGTAATATTGTATAGACTTCGCCAACTAATGTAGCAAGTCTAATTGCATCTATATAATATTTGGAGATTAATTTTGAGATTCCTCAAGATAATGTGTCAAATAACATTAGTGTCATGATCTATGTGATTTATTAATATTTTGTTGTTGTTAGTATGCTGCTTTTTTTGTTATTTCAATTTTTAAACTTCACACTCACAATTATGTGGTTTATAATTTTTTTGGGGTTTACAATCAATTGAGCATAGATGGAGTGAGGTTATAGTTTCGGCTAAATATATTTTATTTGAACAGTATTTAGTTATTTATTGTTATTAGACCTGAAAACTAAGATCATAAGAATATGATCCCATGATCCTAAACCGATCTTACCTAGGATCGCAAATCCCAAGTTTGTCTATGAAGAGCGGATCTAATTATATTAGTGTCTATAATTGATTTCTTTTATATAATACTAATCGATAGGGCCTCATTGGTAAGTACTACAAGATCTCGTACAAAAGTAAAATAACAGTGCAAAAATATTTTTATTAATGAAATATAGGTTGTAAAGTTAGTGGTTAGAGAAATTGTAGGAGATTTAATTGGGGGTATTTTAGTATTTTTAAAATTTATATACTAATATTTGGTCCTCCTAAATAATTACATTTTTTAAGATCCTCCCTAATAAATATAAACTTTTCTTGGTCCTTCTCTCTAATTTTCCCTTATTAATATGTAAAATTTATAGTTGATTTATGCGTAATTTTTATTCATTTTAATTTAATTATATATTTATTGACAAATTTAAAACCAGTTTTTTCTCGACTTTTTAATGGGCTCAGATTTTCTTAACGATCAGGCGGTCCACCTAAGCTTTTTGCCCTTTACCGATTACCGATGTCCGTATATTCTGATGGAACGTCGTTAACAAAATTTTTTTTTTTCCATTTTTTATTTTGGATGGCCTGAATTAATTGAGGTTCTTATCAACAGCAAGTGTTACTTTAATTAATGAATCAATAAAGGGATTTAGGCTGAATTACGGGTAAAATTATGGCGTAAGCGGGTCCTTTTTGTTCCCGAACAGTACTCCATAACCAGAGTACGGCTTCGCACTAAAGTTTTGGAGTTCCCCAGCATTTATTTCCAGTCTCTCGCACTTTGTCATTTATCTAAATTCTAGGGTTTTATCATTTTCTCCTCATGCCCCTTCGCGTTAGTTTCATTGTAATTTGATAAAAACCATTCCTTTTTGGTCGCAGACTATTGTTATTGCAAATCTGAAGCCTCCGGCATCGGCTTTTACGCACATCTGTGTAATTTTCCGCATCGTCTTTTATGCAAATCACTATACTGAGTAATTTGAAGTTCTTCTGCGGGAGAATCAACTGAATTTCTCCTTGGAGGTGAGAATCTTTTGCAGATATATATGTACAGGTCTGTGCTGTTTATGTGCTCTATGTACAAGAATAAATAAATTTGCTGTATTTGGATTTCAATTTTTCTTTTTGGAGTAATCTCTGTTGGACGAATTGGGTTAAAGGGCTTATCTCAGGATCTTTTGTATAATTTGCAGTTTTCGTTTAAAAGACATGGTTTTAGCTCGTTGGATGACCCAATTTGTAATTTGCATCCTACTTTTATAGAGCATCTTGTCCTTTGGCTTGAGGGTATTAAACCCGGGTACTTATCTTAAAAGTAGTCTGGTCACCTCAATAAAGAATATAGAATTGTTTAGGTCCTTAATCTAATTTTGATCATTTTGTGGATGCTTATAGCAGTCCCCAGAGACAATAATAATGGCATTGGTTGGTTAAGACCATTGTGCAGTTGCACACCACGATGCTGCTTAAAAATAATGAGAGAATATTCTTTAATATATGCAAGCTTGATCTCGTCTGGTTAAAAATGTCTAGATATAGTCATATTTAATACCGTGTATGTGGCTAATGCTCTTACGTTGTAAATGTCCCACAGTTAGCCAACCTTGATAATGGCAGACCTCAAAGAGCGGCTATTACTTCCCCCAAAACCAGCATCAGCCCTTAATTTGAGAGAGCCAGTCAATCGACCATCAGCATCTGGAAGGCAACCCTTACAAGGAGTGGATGTGTTGGGGCTAAAGAAGCGGGGTCAAGGTCTTCGATCATGGATTCGTGTTGACACATCTGGAAACTCTCAGGCTATTGAAGTAGACAAGTTCACTATGATGCGACGGTGCGATCTACCTGCACGTGATCTTCGCCTGCTAGATCCTTTGTTTGTGTATCCATCAACTATCTTGGGAAGAGAAAAGGCTATTGTTGTAAATCTTGAGCAGATACGGTGTATTATTACAGCAGATGAAGTTCTTCTCTTGAATTCCCTAGATAGTTATGTATTACACTATGTGATGGAGTTGCAACGCCGGCTAACTACTGCAGGGGTAGGTGATGTTTGGCAGTCAGAAAATTCTGATATGAGCCGAAGAAGAGGAAGTAGGAGTTTTGACAATGCCTTTAACAACACATCCCCTGATTATCTGCCTTTTGAGTTTAGAGCTCTTGAAGTTGCCTTGGAGTCAGCATGCACATTTCTTGACTCTCAGGTTTGTAGAAGTGCAACATTACATCACAGTCATGCTTTAATTGATTTAAGTTTGTGTTAACCAAACAAACCTAAACAACCCCCCCCCCCCCCAAAAAAAGAAAGAAAGAAAGAAAGAAAGAAAGAAAGAGAAGTCAAATTACTGTAAGCTGAGACATTTATTTCCCACTAATTAGTCTTTATAATAGCATTTGATGAAGCATGTAAACTTCCTCAAGCAATTAAGCAGTGCCATTGGGTGGACAGTATCATTATGTTGTGGTTTAATGATTTTAGATGCATATTTATCACAATGACCGTCTTACTATCTCTAGCCTATTTGAAATTCTGTAATGATGGTGACACTTGATTGTTCAAAGAGATTGGTATGTTAACAGATATTTTTCTTTCATTGCCTTTGTGAGTGGCCTGGATTAAGTAGTACTCCCTCCAATTCTAAATATAAGACCCCTTTTGTAGTGTAAATTACACTACAAAAAGGGTCTTATATTTAGGATTAGAGGAATATCAATTATATGGTCCAACAAGAGAACGTGGATTAATGAGTTCAATATCATTCCCAGAGATGTTTTGCCAGGCAGAGTATGGGGAAAATCTCTCTCTCTCTCTCTCTCTCTCTCTCTCTGTGTGAAATGTCTCAATGTGCTAATTTGTTATAAAAAATAGTCCTTTTGTATTCTTAGGAACAGTGTGCAAATGTAGAAATTCTGTTATTGATCTGCAAACATGATTCTAGATTCATACTCTTACCTCAAACTCTTCTTTTGCATACTTGTTAGTTCGATTTTAGTAAATCAGTTGTTGATAACACACTTGATTCTTGCCTTTTTTAAAAGGCAGCAGAATTAGAAATTGAGGCCTATCCTTTACTGGATGAGTTAACATCAAAGATCAGTACATTAAATTTGGAACGTGTTCGTCGCTTGAAAAGTAGACTTGTTGCCTTGACTAGGAGAGTTCAGAAGGTACTGTCCGTATAAGTTTTCTTCATATTGCAAATGAAATTGAATATAATTTTCTTCCCTTTGTCCTATTCATTGATTTTGCTGCTATTACATGCATATTATTCAGGTTAGAGATGAAATAGAGCAGCTAATGGATGATGATGGCGATATGGCTGAAATGTACCTCACTGAGAAGAAAAGTCGGATGGAGTCATCATTTTTTGGAGATCATCAGTCTTCGATGGGATATAAATCAAATGATGCTGCATCAATTTCCGCACCAGTTTCTCCTGTTTCTTCACCTCCTGATGCTCGGAGGCTTGACAAATGTTTGAGCATTGCAAGGAGTCGACATGAAAGCATGAAAAGTACAGAAAGTGCTACAGACAGTATAGAAGAGCTTGAGATGTTGTTGGAAGCTTACTTTGTTGTAATTGATAGCACCTTGAACAAGTTGACGTCGGTAGGCACATTATTGTCGATGTAAACTCTTTCTACCTTGCTTCATCAAATAGTCTCTTAAACATTCTTTTTCATTGCAGTTGAAAGAGTACATTGATGACACAGAAGATTTCATAAACATCCAACTGGTATGTCCCCCTCCCCCTCATTTTCTCATATTTGTATATATATATTTTTTTTGGCATCGATCATTTGTATTATTTTGTTATCAGAATGTCTTTATTAGTCCTTTTTTTTCCTTTTTTGTCATTCTTGATTCTAATTATTGTATTACCTACACAGCACAGGGGAAAGGTAGAAGGTGGGTAGTATCAATATTATTTGTGTAGGAAAGAAGTGGTAACATATTTAATGACTACCGTATTCTTATTAAAGTATGCTCCTGTGCTTCGGTGAGGGATTTAGAAATTTATTCAAGCCTCTTGCATCACATGTTATTTGACTTGTTTCATTTCAAATTTTAAAAATCATAGAGAGAAAAGTTATACATCATGCCTGCATTTTTATTTGATGGCATTGCTGATCAGGAAATTTAATTAAATATTGTAAAAGCTGACTGATATTTTGTTTGCAGGACAATGTGCGCAATCAGCTGATCCAATTTGAGCTTTTACTCACAACGGCAACATTTGTGGTTGCCATTTTTGGCGTGGTAGCTGGAGTATTTGGAATGAACTTTGAAATCCCATTATTTGATGTGCCCCATGCATTCAGCTGGGTCATTATAATTACTGCAATTTGTGGGGTCTTGATATTTTCTGCCTTTGTGTGGTTCTTCAAATACAGAAGGCTCATGCCCCTATAGGAAGCCGAAGATGGTTTCCGTGGTTAACATTATTTTTAGCTTTGCATTATTCATGCAGAGAAATTCTTTCAAATTCAATTTTGAATCAGTTTTAGGTCATTCCTTAAAGTATTCTCTGTTCCCTATTAGCAGTCTCTGTATATTGAGGACAAAAATTTTCAGTCGATTAGCAACATAAAACTTGTGATACTTTTCTGGACTTCTTGTCCAGGCCCCTTGATCTTATGATGGTTGCGTCATTGCTATCTGTTAATAATAAGCAGCCAGCGTATTCGGTACTGTTTATGATAAGATCCAATAAAAATTACTGTTTATGCCTGGGAACTAGAGGCTTCCAAGTGTAAAAGCAATACTGTTTTGTTTGTCTCATAGTTCCTTGTGAAGAAAGCTTTCGCTTGTAGTACGTGGTAAACCTATTTCCTTGAGACTGCTTTACACTTTGGAAAGAAACAATATGTTTGTTCCTTGCTTTATCAGCTCCTGCCATGTAGTTTTAGCGAGATGATATTTGGCCTTTCTTCAGGAAAAGATGAAACTTACAAACAGATGAGCATGTGTGTGTGTGTGTGTGTCAGGATACGATTCTGTTTTAATGGCTTAATTGTGATTATTACAGCAAAGCGATCTAGTGTACTCTCAAGTTCTAAACTTGCCATTTCCATATATTATTTAAAAACGAAAAAAACAAAGCGATCTAACATGAAAACAATAGCACTGGTACTTCACTGATTTCTGATGAGCATGAGCCTAGTTAGATGCAGGAATGATGTCAAACAATAAGGCCCTACCGTAAACCAAATTAAACAAACTTGTGAGTGCTATTACAAAATGGAATGCGATGCCAGCTGAGGCCATAATGGGCTTGAAAGGATATTTCTAAAAGAGAGATTAAAAACGATTAAAGTACACATTTAATTTTTTAATGCAAGGTTTTAGTTTGGTTCTTTAACTTTTAAAAAGTATATTTTTAATTCTTTGACTCTAAAATCATTAGTCTTAAATGATGCATTTTTTAATAATCATAATTGTTTTAAAAATTAAACTTAATATATTAGCATTTAAAAATATTTTTATCAACATTCAAAATCTCAATATCAATATTTTTTTAATGATTTTAGAACTAAAAATGGATTTTTTAAAATTAATAGACCAAACTAAAACTTTGTGTAAAATTAAAACACTAAAAGTATATTTTAGTTAAAAAAAATTAATTAAGTTAGTTATCCATAAAAAATTTGTATTGTTTTTTCTAGAGTATTTTTTTTAATTATTTGTAATTAATATAAAGAGTTTTGAAAAAAAAATCATGACAAAATAGGATCAGAGAAGTATTTATTTTTCTTCTCACAAAAACACTACATAGAAACATATGTCACCCATCTTCAACAGATAACCAAACATGCTCTATATCATTCCTTTTTGGGAACTAATTGGTGGGGGGGATTGAGTTTAGAAACGGCATTCATCCTATGACCTTTTATTTAAAGAGAAACATCCATGGGCCCACAAAGGCCTTTCCGTGGCTTTAAACCTTTGGGAAAATATCGTTTAAGTCCCATAATGTGGACTTCATTTGTACTAAGTCCCAAAATATTCTGAAGTTTGTTTTTAGTCTCTTTACCCCTGAATGAAAATAAGCTTGAAAGTAAAATGTCCATTTTGTCCATCAAAATTTTAGCAAGAAGAGAGGGGTCGATTGAGATTTTTCATAATTGCACATATGAAAATTTACAACAAAAGATAGGAAAATGACAGTTGAAAAAACTGAAATTTATAATAAATAATAGAATATTAACAATTCTACATAGGTGAATTTACAATAAATACTAGAAGATTTGCAATTTTACATATGGGAATTTACAAAAAATAATTAGAAAATAACAATTAAAAATATGAAAATTTACAACAAATAATAGAATATTTATAACTCCACATATGATAATTTACAACACAATAGAAAATTAAAAACTGCATACATGAGAATTTCTAACGAAAAATAGAAAAATAATATCTGAAAATATGAAAATTTATAACAAATAATGGAATATTAACAACTCTACATATGAGAATTTATAACAAATGATAGAAGATTAACAACTCCACATATGAGAATTTACAACAAATAATTGAAAATATATGAGAATTTACAACAAATCATAGAAGATTAACAATTCCACATATGAAAATTTACAACTCTATATCTGAGAATTTACAACAAAAAGTAGAAAAATAACAACTTATATTCCTATTATTTGTTATTAATTTTCATATTTTCAGTTGTTATTTTCCTATTTTTTGTTGTAAATTTTCATCTGTCCATTTGTGAAAAACCCCAACCGATCCCTTTTTTCTTGCTAAAATTTTGATAGGCAAAATGGACATTTTACTTTGAAACTTATTCCTATTTAGGGGTAGGGGACTAAAACCAAATTTCAAAATATCTTGGGACTTATTATAAATTAAGTCCACTTCATGGGACTTAAATGACATTTTCCCTAAATCTTTTGAACGTTGTACCGGGAGTTTTGTCACTCATTCGCTAAGCGGCCATTCATAGGCGTGATTTGAAAAGCAAGGACGACCACGGCTGCCTTGTTTGTTGATCAAAAAATCAGAGTCGGGGTGATTCAGATTCCCCCAGGCAAAGTAACTAATGCTGTAGTAAAGGATAAAAAAAGGAACAAGAATTGATTTAATTGATAACTCATGACCCACAACATTAACATCGTGAGTTCGATTTTGTTGCTTATGTAAAGATTTTGTTTGTAGGTGATCTATAAATCCCTCTATAAGTGTTTTTTCAGCCTAAAGATATACTCTAATTTTAACGAGTCTTAAAATCTAACTCACCTAAATTTTTATTCATATTCATAAGAAGAAAAAAGGAAAAAGAAAGAAAGAGAGAAAGCGCTTACCAAATGCTTACCATGAAGAAATGCAAAGAAACTCTTGTTATGTTATACTTTATCAACACCAACTTAATTGTTCATACCTTGATTTTAACTTCCACGCGAAGGCACTTTAGATTCCAGTACAGTGTCATTACTTTTGTTTAAAAAATAAGAAAAAGATAGCATGGTCGTCGAATCGTCATCGTTGTGTATTATACGTACACGCGCACCGGAATGAAAATCGGCGGAAAAGTTCCATATCATTGGCATTACTGGGTTACGGGTTACATGGTCATTGGCAAGCCTGTCAAGATCGAAATTTCTGGATTGAAGGGAATTTGATTTGGTTTTTGTCTTTCTTTTAACACGTTAAAGAAGGGACAAAACAATGAGACCCCTCAAACATATATATGTCAACGACATGATGGCACATGCTTTACCCAGGGCAAAGAAATAGCACTCTCGTGTGTTAATAATGCCGTTGCTTTATTAGTGACTCACTTTACTCTCTGATTAAGACTCCCTTTGGTCCATAATAATGCCATGACCAGTCAGCCTGCGTGTTAGAATTCTGGTGATTATACAACTTCTTCGTCTCAAGCCTTGGCTACGCATCTTTTTTTCCTCGAAGTGGTATATATTATTGCTTTCCTTAACTTCGTTAAGATACTTGTTTTGATGTATAACAAACATAAAACATACAGAATCATACTCTTGAACAACATAGGGCTCTGATGAATGTTTTTTCTGTTACCAAGCAGAGAAAACCTTGTCCTTTACAGTGAAGGGCAGAACATGTTCTCTAACACAAACCATTACGCAGAGGGAATGCCAAGGAATTTTCAGTCATCAAATTAAGTTAATGCATCGGTTTAGTGGGGCAAAAGCATAAATAATTATCTCATATACATACAGCACAACACAAATTTTACAATGCACTCCGTTTCAACTTTGTGTTCTGAACTGCACTAAGCATGAGCTGATGAAATTGCAAAAGCCTATTCTGTAGTTTTCTTTTGTTTTGTCCTTGATTTGCTGTAAAACTTGGAAGGAGGAGATGGTGAAAACTCGAATGGCAGCGGTGGAAGGTCCATGTCGCCCTTCAAAATCTTGACAATATCCCCGGTTTCGGGCCTCAATTCTGGAATTTTCTGTAAGCAAGCAAGTGCCAGGTTGATGCACAAGCTTGCTTGCTCCTTGTTGTAATCTTTCAGTCTCTCATCTACTAGTTCTAAAATGTTACCAGAATGAGCCAAGTGCCTGCACCAGCTTATTAAGTTGGCTTTCTCTAGCTTCATGGGAGATGCAAGAACATGTAATGGTCTTCTACCAGACACGATCACAAGGATCAAAACTCCTAAACTGTAAATATCAGCTTTCTCCATTAAGTATCCACACCCTCCATATTCTGGTGCAACATAACACAGTGTTCCTCTCATACTGGTTGTGCTGCTGAGCTCGCGGCTGAAAAGATCTCCACTCCACATGTCGCTGCCAATGGAACGAGTACTTTTCTTCCTCCAACCTCTTCTGAAACTGAACTCGCCATTTTGATCGCTCTCATCCTGAGCTTCTTCAGTGAAGTTTCTTCGCCTGCAAAGATAAAACCTTCTTCCCAAGTCAAAATGTGGCACTTTCAAGCCTTTCTTCCACTTGGTTTGAAGATTCTTCAGCTTACTCCTCTTCTTGCTTAGTTCTGCAAGGTGCTCTTCTTTCCACCATTCCTGCATCTTCCTGGGCTTTTTCTTTCGGTTTTTCTTCCCCCTTGCTTCTTTCTTCTCAACCACATTATCTGTATCACCCCCTCCAAATGCTTGTAATTGGGGCCATTTGCTTCATCTGGTTTATGATCCACTGGACTTGAAGTTTCCAACTCGGCTTTTTCATTAATGTTCTTCTTTTCTTCTACCCAATCTGGGTTCGATGGACCAATCTGACTCCCTATCCACTCCATCACATAGTCTCTACTACATAATTCATCAGTTCCATGCTGTCTCCACCACCAATCCTTTCCCCATTGTTTCCCATTTATTTTCACTTCATCCACAGAAGAAGCATTTACAGTACTTAATTCCTTACTGTGATCAATGCTAGAAAACTCATCATCATAAGGAACAAATTTCTGGTTCCAGTCAACTCCACCAATATCTAGAGTTGATATTTCCTTTCCCTTTGCATTACAACTCCTGATTTCGCTCTCATTGGCAATATTGGCATTATAATTGAAAGAATTCAAGCTCAAAGCTTTAACATTAAAACATGTCTTGCTATTTTTAGATGAAGAAGATGCTTGCAAAGCTAAAGCAAAATCTACTTCATTAACACTCTCAACTGGTGTACCAATAGCTGGAGTTGGGGTTTCAGCAGTTAAATTACCTGAAAGCTCTTCGCTCTTCCATAGCTCTTGACTCTTCCCCAAGTCCTGGCTAAACAAATCCACACCAAATTCATTCTCCACTTTGATCCTTGACAATCCAAAGTCTGAAATCTTCCCACGGAACTCTGAATCAAGAAGAACATTGCTCGGCTTAACATCCCCATGATCACTGGAGGATCACAACCAAGGTGCAAGAATTCCAAGGCTCTAGAAACATCCAGAATGATGTGGAATCTTCTCTCCCAGCTCAAACTCAAACACCCATCATCTCCAAACAGAGACTCCTGCAAGCTTTTATTGGGCATGTAATCATACACCAACACTCTCTTGTTCTTCTCCACACAATACCCCAAAAGGGTCACAATAAAAGGAGATCTTAACCCACCTAGAATCTGAAGCTCATTCTGAAACTCTCGCTCTGTTTGTAAAGACAAGGCGTCTAGCCTCTTAATTGCAATCAATTTCCCGTCTTTAAGGGTTCCTCTGAAGACAGTTCCAGACCCTCCTTTACCAATTACATTGGCGGCGTCAAAGCCATTGGTGGCCTGCTTCAGTTCTTTGTACGAGAATCTTTCCAGCTTCAAAGGAGCACTCGAATCAAAGGGGATAGTTTTAGCTCTGTGTACCATGGAATGCCATAAGTGGTAAAGAAAGTATATGAGCGAGCATACAATTACAACAGACGCTGAGATTGTGAGGGCGAGGAAGATGACTCTGGTTTTAATGAAAAAACTTGGACTTGGAGGGTTGGGACTGGAAAGGATGGATCTGGAAGGCATGGTGAGTGTGGAGCTCAACTTCTGGGTTTCTCTCAAGCTCGAAGCTTTTATGGATATTGATGATTGATCACATTAATTGATGAAGAAAAGGTAAAGTCAAAGAACTGGGGGCGCACTAGCAGTGTGTTTGAGCCGGACCGGGTGGACCGTCTCTTCTCAGACGGTTAAATCGTTTAGGGGATGAGACCGCATTGGCCCGCCAAGAACCGGGTATTGAGCCGGGAGACTGGATCAACCCGCGAACCGGAGTGGGTCTTAGAAAACCGGACGAGTCTCACACAGAACGTGGATGAAGATCTAAGAAGGAAGATGAAAAAGAAGTCGAGGATAGAAGATGGGGACTGAAGTGAAGGAATATATTCATTGAAGAAGGAAGAGGGGTGAAAGTGAATTTCTCATCTGTAAAATCGATTCTTCTATTGAGATGAAAGAAGAACCGTTGTCTTTCTCGGATCTCAAAAGCATTCTCCGTTTCATCGCTGGAAAAGAGAGCCGAACGGAGAAACACAGAAAGATGAAGACACAGAGTTGATTGGAGTTCACTTCGTATGAAACGCGTCTCTCTTTTCAATATTAATTTTTTTTAATTTTTGCCACTTATACTATTTATTTTTAATATTAACTTTGAAGAGAGCTGATTGAATTAGTTGTGGGATCACATCGTATCTGCTGAATAAATCTTAGAAATTTACTGTATTTTTAAAATTAACTTTTTATATATTTAATTTTTTATTCTTTTGATTCTTTATTACTAATCATGCCTGTATCTAAAATCATAAAAAATTACTTTATAATTTAATTTGTCAATTATTTCAAATATAATAGCTTTTTTGAAAATTTGATGTTTTATTCCTGTGTACATTATTATATATGCATAAAGTATTGTTTTTAATTTAATTATTATACTACTTGTCCGAACGGACCGTTTAATCATCTTAAACCATAACCCGTTGAGTTTTTTAGTTTAATGTTCGGCCCGGTTTTTAAAATATAATTGGAGGAGGAGTTTGGGCACTGGTCAATTTCTTTATTGGATATTCTCATTTGCTTTGATCACTGTGGGTATCCAAAGCAGATTGCTTTACGGCGAGACAATCAGAAGGAACTGTATTCGAACTGTGCCACTGTTAATTTAACTTGGTTTTGTGTTATCCGCTTCGCTTTTTCCATGATTTGAGTCTCTCTGTCTTTCTTTCTAACGCTCTTGCATAATATTCCTCCTTTGTTTTATTACCGAAGATTAGTGATAAGTGATTGGGATATTTGGATTAGAAAAAGGGTGGGAAACAAAAGGGATGGACCCAATGTGCTTTTGACTAAAGAGCAAGTTTTGGAGACAGTGTCATGCACTACAGAAAATATATCAAAGAAATTAAGGGGCAAAAAAAAAAAAACCACAGAAAAGAATTACAATCAAATCCCATAAAAAAAATAATTACTAAAAGTTCAATAACAACTTTAACGGTTATAATAACAACTTTTATAGTGAGAATGATAACTCCTAATATTTATTTTTTAATTGTTTTTTTTATTTGGGATTTTATTGTAATTCTTACAAAACACAAATGGGTTACAGTGAGACGGAGGTTATGGTACTGAGTAGACGTTTTGTCTTGTACGCCATGACTGGGGCACGTGCTGTGTTTAGAGTTTAGAGATACGCCACTTTTATTATCATTAGGTGTTGACTAAAGTTTCACACTGTGGTTGGATTCCAATAGTTCCTTGCCATCCATAATTCTCAATTCTCATGTCATTGAAAAAAGAAGGAGGAAAGAATTCTACATATCTTAAGCCTATGATTATGATTATGAGAACCATTATATTTTCCCATGGCCCAATGGTCTTCATAATTAGACTATAATGCAGTGTATGCACATATAGGGATTTTATTAAACCAGGAAATAGTGGCAAATTATTAACATTTTTTAAGGAAAAATCCTAAAAAAACAACGGTTTATTTTCAAAATTTCAAATCAGTATTAGTTACTACATTTATAAAGAAAATAACTACACTCAAAAAGTAAATAACAATAAATTTTTGTAGTAATTCTTGATTTGTCATTTTAAAATTTGACAGTTTTTTTTTTGGAATTTTTTTCTTTTTTAAATGTTTATGTCCCACGAGAATGTTGTGAGACGTACGGAGACATTTGATATTTTCATTTTACAACGACAAAAAGTAGGAAAAATTACTGTAAAATCTCAAGACAAAAATATAATTATAAAAAAATTCTATAATAAGTAAGTAGCATGTAATGACAAGTTTTAGTAAAAAAAATAATATTACCCTCTATCTTTAATATAACAGTTAGTTGACTAATTTGAGTAGAGTAAAAAAAAATTAGTTAGAGACATATAACTAATTAGGAGTAAAAATTTAAAAAAAAAAAAAAAGTACCGCATTATCCAACAAATCTAAAATGACACTTATAAAACCCTCAGACTCTTTCAAAAGTCGGATGCTTAAACCCAGTGATTAAATTGGCTTTGTATTATGATGAATGATGGGGACAGAGATGGTGGATAATGAGGAGGAGGCACGTAGGGCCCCTTCCACCTGCAACCATAATGGTATTCGTGGAAGACTTTGGACATTCAGTAGCTTTTGATTCCACAATGCATTCCCTCTTTACCCTGGCCATCCTCCATGTTTTAATGCATTTCACATTTCATATTGTACCATAACCAACACATAAAACCCCACCTACCTTCCAATTTTCATGAGGCTTGATTCAAAGTTAATCACTAGATTTTATTGTTTCATAATGATTATACTCTGCTTCTCAGTCTCCAGATATTTTCTTCAGGTCACTTCCATAAGCTCTGGTTCTTCTCCTTCTTCTTGTTTTTGAAGCTTTTTTTATTAGGATATCTTCTCGAATCCCCATTGAAAGATACCGAGCAACGGAGAAGTCAATCACAAAATAATGAAGCCGTTAAGCATATATGCATGATTTATAGTACTTTTAATCCTTAATATAAGATTTAGTTTACTAATTTGAATAGATTAAGAAAATAATTAAATAAGTTATTTGTGGTAAATATGTATTGTCTTTCCTGAAATATCCTTACTAATAATGTGTATTAGCTAAAATGACTATTTGATAAAACTTTTAATATATACAACTATTACAAGAATTACGTTAAAAAAATAGATAAATATGAGAAACAATTTGATATTTAGGATCAAATTAAATGTTAAATTACTTTTCATATTAAGCATGGAGGTAGTGTCAATTTTGATATAATTAGGTTTTTGACTCTCCATATATGTCTTATTTATTTCGGCAAAAAAAAAAGTCTCATTTATATATGACAGAGACTTGCGGTCCAACATAGCCGTAACGGCAACAAATTTTTAGTACCCCGTTTGAAAAAATAGGGAAAATCATAATAAGATGATAAAAATATATATAATTACTAAAAAAAAGGAAAAATCATAACGGCAACAAATTTACAGTGCCCGTTTAAAATAGTTATTTATAAAAAAAATATGTGTTCATTTTTTTTTAAAGTAATACCATTTACTTCCTAATAAAATCAGACGTGTGTTGGTGGAGACTAGACTGAGTAGTAAAAGTATATAAATATAGTAAAAATCATTAGTATAATCAAACATTACTTATATTCTTATCTGGGATTATTTTCCAGTTATTTAATTTGTTTACAAATTCGGATATATATATATATATATATGTATGTATGTTTACAAAAAGTCTGACTTCGATTTTAGGGCAAAAAAATACCAAAAGAATAAAAGAGGATTCTTTCAATTAGCTCAAAATGAGAATAATGGGATTGCCTTTTCTATAATGATGTAAGGTGTTGGTGCAACATGATTATTGATTTTCATTTCACGTGGAATAATTAAAGCAAGTTATTCACATGAGAAAAATTAAAAAATTAAATTAAAACAAGTTGACTAGAGGGCTAAAATATAATAAAAATTAATAGTTAGTCGATGCGTGAGCAATACTTATTTTTTTTCACATTAAATAATTCATAATATAATATTATTTCATGGGAAGAGCCCCGTTACTAATTTTCCGTCAAATCTAAGCAGAAATAAGAAATAAGAGAACATTTATCACAAAGATTAAATAAGTTTCTTAATTAAAGAAAGAAAAAAATAAAAAAAAAGTAGGCAACTTTAATTGGAGGGACCTTAAAAAAAGGTAATTGGAAGGAACTTTATGGGTCACTTTTATTATAAGCATGCATGTGGGATTCTTTTTAAAAAGGAGCACCATATACACAAGTCCACGGAATCAATGATAGCCAGCTAGCTATGGCCAAATAAAGTGGCAATTATTTGATAATGTGTCATCCATATAAAAATCAGAGAGAATGGCAAATAAAGACCGTGTGAACTGAAAAATCTCATATTGGAATTTGTTATAACACTTTAATGGGCAAAATTGACTTGTAAGATATAAATAACAACATATTTTTATGAAAATACTTGATTTCATATTTTACAATTTTTACGGTCTCTTTTTGTTATTCTTTCTAGAAATTATTGATAAATTTTATTTTTAAATTTCACGAGGCAAACATCAAAGCATGGACTTAGCTATATGTGTTTAATAATGTTATAGTTCAAGCAGAAAGTGACACAATGTTGTTGAACCACTTGTAGCTACATATGTATAATTTTAAAAACGGTAAAATGTCTTTTTGTTGACAAAAATTTCTGGTAGTTGAATACACATATATAATATATAATACTCCTTCGGTTCTTAATATAGGACTCAATTGTTGAGTTGGTTTTGGTCCTAAATATAAGACCCATTTCTTATATTTATCAATTTTCTCTAAATTACCCCTATAGATACTCCCTCAACTATAATCAAGTAGAAGAGAGAGGGGGTATTAAGGAAGATGATTATGGTATTTTAGGAAAAAACGTGTCACATTTATTATAATTAACTAACTTACCTAACTTTCTTAATATAAGCAAATTAGTTAAATGGGTCTTATATTAAGGACCGGAGTAGTATAATATAATGTGTCACACATACATTGAAAGTCTAGATCCTGTTTTATTAAATTGAAATGTTAACATCCATGCTTTTGTTTTGATATATTTTGTACCATACGCTAAAATTTCAAAG